TACAAAAAGAAATTAAGAAATTCGAATTAGAGTAAAAGGAAAAGAAGGTGCGAGAGATAAGGATTATGTCTACCTCTCGTTTTCAGAAAGAAAGAAGCAAGGTGGAGACTGACCTGTGTTTATCGCTGCTGCTGCGGCGTCTGTGTACCGGAGAAATGCAAATGCGGATCTGTATGTATTTGTGGTGTAGTGTATTAGCAAGTGAGGAGCAGCGGAAGGAGGGAAGTGAAGGCAAGACCAGGGAGGTCATATCAATCCTGAACACTCAAAACGAGGTGGCGCCATCTTTCAGCATTTGCAGGTTATCACGTGCCACTCAAGTGCCCTAGTAACGCTCATTTACCTAGTTGACTCGAATGAAAGCCCGGCAGTAAACACATTGTTTGTTGGAAATTTAAAAAGAAAAATTTACTTGATTTTTTTTTACATAATTTTTATTATACTGCTGTTGGAAATTTAAAAAGAAAAATTTACTTAATTTTTTTTAGATAATTTTTATTATACTGGTATTAAAAATAAATTTTAAAAATACAAAAATTATTTTAATATATTTATATAAAAAAACATTTTAAAATGCATCTCTACCACATTCTTACACATGCCCTAAAAGTCCATCAAGTTAATTCTAATGAATTTCTTATATATATACAAAAAAATATCATTTATTTTTTTAATTAACAAGATATATTTAATTTTTTTAATTCAAACTTTTGGATTAGTATTTGAAAATTTTATTAAATATTAAATGAATATAGAGAAATTAAACATCCTTTGTACAAGGAAGAGATTGTTTTGATTAATAAGTAAATTGAGAAAATCCTTTTTCTCATCAATTAAAAAAAAATATGTTGAAAAAAAGATTCAAAACTTAAAAAATAAAAAATATGAATACATTCTAATCCTTGCCGAGTAACAAGTCTGGACCTTGATATTCCTGGGAGGAACTTTTGACTCTAAAGTATATTTGCTTCAAACATCAAGACAAAAGTAGACATTCCCACTGAACCTTGTCTATTAGTTTGACCATTGCTTGTTAAACATTACCTTTTTACAGTCTATTTTTTCCTATTTTTTGTCCTTACACAATCAAATCTTTCAATTATGGAAGTTGTTAAATTTCCTCAGCTCCAAATTTTTTATTTATTAAAAATTAAAATAAAAACTAAAACGCATTATTCTTTTTGTTTTCATTTTGGATGCACACAGTGAAAGCTCTTTTGTTTCCCGTTCTTTAAATTTCTCTTCATTTTATTTTTCAATTTGTTTTTCAATTTAGTTCTTAAACATTGTACTGATTTGGAATTGGTTACAGTGATTTGTTTTTATTTCCATATACAGGGAACTTGTAAATGTTAAAGGAGTTATTCATAACTCATATTTGATTTGATAAAATAAAATTTAATTTTATTAATTTAAAAAAAAATATAGCTTTGAAAATTGGGTTTGAAGCTTAGACAAATGTCAAATTTTTTTTTTTTTGTCAATATCAAGGACTATTTTGCAAGGTCAGTGAAAAAGTTTGTGTTTTTATCAGTCACTCAACTTTTTTTATAATTTAATCCATTCTAATCGATTTTAATTAGGATTTAGGCTTTGTGGTTTATTCTTGTTATCTGGATATAATTTTTTATAATTTAATCCATTCTAATCGACTTTAATTAAGATTTAAGCTTTATAGTTTATTCTTGTTATTGTTATCTGGATATGAGGTTCTCACAATATTAAGAAAAAATTATGGCACTTAGTTAATGGTCAGTTTAGCAAAATAAAATAAAATAATATTGATGTAAAATAATTAAATTTTAAAGGACCAAAATTAAATCTAAAACAAATATAGTGGATTAAGGTAGATGAGTGTGACAACATGGTTGGCTCGTCATTCATACTTTCTAGCATGTGGAGGAAGACTAGCATGCTCAGGTGGTAGGTGCGCCCTCCTCTAGTGGCCAAGCATAGTTGTTCTTAATGGCATTTAAAGTGATGCATCAAGTTATGTCTGTCAAGGTGACTCTTATAAATCAATGATCGATAGCATGATGATAATGATATTATTTTTTTTCTCTGCCCTTTTTTCTCTCTCATCTCCTCTAAATTCATGTTACTCCAACCAAAATTAAAGGATGTCATGCCATTTTATTTTTTTATTAAATTTAATTTTTATTATTTTGATTGCTCTTTTTTTTTTTTTTGCTTCGGGTTTTTTTTATTTCATCTTTTAATATTGAGATGATTTGAAATTAGGCTTTGTGATTTTTTTTTATATAGGGTAATCCTAGTCTAATAATTTAGATTACAAGTTTGAAAGGTTAACCTGAGTTGACATCAATATTTTATAAAATCTTTTTTTACATTCATTTTATTTTCCAATTTCATCATTTCACATTAGGTTTGTCGAAAATTATGCTTCGTGATTTTTCTTAATTTTTTTCATATAGAGGTATCTTGATCTTATGATTTAAGTCTTTGATATGACAAGTTAACCTGAGTTGACTCAGGTCTTTTTTTTGTTTTTTTTTTTAAGTTTCTTCTTTCAACACTTGGATGGTTTATGAATTGAAATTCATTTGTTTTTTTTATCTTATCTTTTATTAGGTTATGTCATTCGCATGATCAAGCTCGCGGTGTGTGACAAACTTGTCCAATTTTGCTAGTGTTTTTTTGTTTGTTTTGTTAATTAATTTTTTTGTTCTTCTATGTTTGGATTGTTGGAAATTAGATATCATTATTTTTCTGATTTTTTTTCAATGGAATTGTCCCAACCTCACAACCTAGATTGCGAGAATTTGACATGCTAGTTCGAGTTATTTTTCTGTCCTCTTATATATATATATATATATATATATTCGATTATCTAGGAATGAGCATTGTGATTTTTTTTTCTTTTTGATAATTGTTTTTTTATGTGTATCATTGTGATTATTTTTTTATAAAAAAATTAGTTTATATACTCTTATTATTTTTTTATCATATAATTAAATGAAACTCATTTATTGAAGCTAGTTAGGTATATAAGCCCAATCATAATTTTTTTTAACTTATTTAAAATAAGCAAATAATATCTAAATATTTTTTTTACATTATTTTTTTTTTGTGTGACTCAACACAACCACCTATCTAGTTATCATCTATATTTACTTTTTGTTTATTTAAGTTTGGAAGGAGAGTAGACTTTTAACCTGAATTTATTTAGATCTACAAAAGAATTTTTATGATCTAGTTATGCGTATTTTGTCATATGTATGGCAAGAATTTTAGATTTTTGTTTAAGTTCATTTTATTTTATTTTTTTTACTTAAGGAAAAATTATACACACACACTTAAATTTTAAACTTTTTACTTTAATTAAAATACAACATTTTTTTTATGGATATGAACTTATATTAAAAAAAAATTAATAATTTTTTTTTTATCAAACATACTTAGATCTTACGCATTTGTATTTCACAAGTTATATTTGAAAAACAACTATTAACTTACTTGCTTGTGACATAATGAGTTGAGTTAAAAGTATGACTAGTAAAAATTAGCACAAAATAATTTTTTTTAAAAATCATATAAATTAACAATTTATTTTATTTTTTAATTAAAACAAAATTTTGACTTAGATTTATAATAAACTTCCGACTCAAGCCAAAAAGTCATCAAACTAGTTTTTATCACTTTTCTTTTAATTAGAAATTAAAAACAAGATGAACATATCATTTTTTTTTAAAAAAATTATACTAAGTTTAACTATCTTATTACTTTTGAAAAAAAAACATGGCAAAAAGTTTCTACATGGCATCTAAGATCCCATGAACAAATAGTTTACATAGGTTACTAGCTCGTGTTATACTGCAAGTTATACCATTTAAAAAAAACACAAAAAAAACTAGATAACAAAAAAAATTCCAAGAACATGGATTCAAAAACTAAATTGATATAGTGATGTATTGAATTGATTCGGGTCAATCATGATTAACATATTAAAATTATAACCCGGGTTTTAAAATCATGATAACTCTTACAAAGCAAGTTGAAACCAATTAATACTACAAAAATCGAAATGAAACATGTAAAACCCCGATTAAAATTTTCTAAATAGTAAAATATTAACCCGGAGATGGAATGAGTTAAATTAAATTAAAGATATAAAGTTAAATAACAAGGAATGAAATAAAAAAAAAAGAGTATATAACAAAGTGTTAGAAAGGAGAAAAGATAGGGAAAAAAAATAAGCTAAGGGCTCAATGAAAGGAGAAAAGATAGGGAAAAAAAATAAAATAAATAAGCTAAGGGCTCAACGTGTAATTACTTGGAAATATGACTATAAAACCCCCAAAATTTTCTCTCTTTTAGCTATCAACAAAAAGAAGAAAAAAAGAAGAAGGGTTTTTAAATCTTTTATCACAAAAAATTAAAAGAAAATATAACAAAATTAAAAGATTTGAGTAAGAGTTAAGTTAGATAGTGAGAGAACAACATCTAGATAAGGATTAAAAGAGAATAATAGAAAGAGATTGAAAAATTTTTGGTAATGAAAGGCCGATTAAGGGAAGTAAAGAAAAAGTGTCAAAAAAAATTTGACTGGTTGAAAATTAAAGTTCATTTTATCACAAGAAGTTTAAAACTTAACTATGAAAATTAGATTCATTATAATTAAAAATTACGTGTAACTTGCAAATTTTAGGTTAAAAGGGGAGGGGGGGGGTGAGAAATTGGCTTTGTTTAATGTAATTGAAATGAAAATGAATGAAAGTAATTTAAAATAATGAATAATTGAAGAAACAATCCTAGGGTGGGAAAAAAACTAAGCTAAGGGTTCATGTGTATTCTAGATAAAAAAATTAACTAACCTAGAAATATGACAATAAAAAACCTAAAATTAACCGATAATGTAATCCCCTTCTACAAATTCCTAGCAACTTAGAGAAAAAATAAAAAGGCATTGGACTTCGGTTTGTTTTTCTCCCTGATAATGCAATGTCCAACAAACCTTAAGCTAATAAGACACCTAATGATGAAATTTAAGTCAATCAAGCAGAAAAGAAGAAGAAGTAACTTCATTTATAAGCTGCAGTACAAATAGTTCAAAACACCCCATTCAAACAATAATGACAATCCTTCTAAGAACACCAACAAAGAAAGGAAAGTTCAAATATAACTTAGGCACCCTCAAACTTCCTTCCTGAGCTTGAAAGGGCATGCTAAAGCCAACAACAGAACAGGTCTGTAGGCTGAGCTGGACCACAAACAACTCTGGAAGCTGATGAAAAGAACAAAAGAGGAGAAAGTCAGCATGCGCCAAATTATTCCAAAGCCATGCGAAGCCAATTACTATAGACAGGCCGAAAGAAGACATAAGGAAATAAAAGTCAGTCTGCAATCCCAGGTAGAAAAGCAAGGACTGCTCAACCAACAGCACCAACAAAGGAAGAAAAGTTAAAATTAAACTTAGGCACCCTCAAGCCTGTTTCACTGACCTTGAAAGGACGGTCCAAAGCCAACAAGCAGCACAGGTCCCGTAGGCTGAGCTGGACAATGAACAACACTGCAACCTGATGAATAGAAAAAAAGAAAAAAGAAAATCAGCAGAAGCCAAATAATTTCAAGCCTTGCGAAGCCAATACCAATAGCAATAAACCGAACAAAGCAAGACACAAGGAAATAAAGGGTAAAAAATGATAGGCTGCTCGACAAACATTCTGATGAAAAAAGCTTATAAACAAAAAGCAAGAACATATTTTTAACCTAACCCTTCTTTTGAACGTTAAACACAGAAAGCACGCAAAGCCAAAAACTCTAAAACAGGACATAAGCCCTTATATATTGGTGAAAAAGATGCAAGGATGCTATGCCCGATTAAAAAACATAAACAAAGCAAGACACTCTCAAACTGATTGAACAGGAAAAGTCGAGTCCTGACATGCCAGAAAAGATTAATGTTAACTAAAGAAAAAGTATGAAAACTCTTCCCCCCGTGAAGGAAAACACCAGAAGCATGTAGGCCTTAACGTGTATTAAATGGGCGTCTATTCACACAACACAAAAACATCTAAATTCTCACTTTTCCTTGTCACAGTATAACGCTTCATTGACAAAGCAGCAGCCAAGAGAATGGTTTTCAGGATTTTAGGCAGCTACTACCCAACACACGGGTGCCTTGATTTAAGGATGAAAGTTATAGGCAGCATGAAACTCTACTGACAAAAGCACGGCAACAACTGCAATTCCTATGACAGAAAAAATGGCAGCCGAAACAATATCCTGCAGCAAAACCACAAAAGTTGAAGAAAAAACAAACTCTGTTCCAAGCCCAACCAAACACAACAGAAGCTCTGCCGATCAATCAATATGTTCCCCAGCCCCAGCCCCAAAAAACCAAGGCCAAGAAGAGTGAACCAATAACCCAGATAAAAAGGAATTAAATACAACCAAGAAAGGCAATCCCACAGCTCAGCAAAACAGAGCTTTAAAGGCCTGGAGAGTCACTGTTGTGGTGAACAAGAAATTGTCTCTGCATCCCACCTTGATTCTCCAAGGCCCTTTAGTTTTGTGTTTTTTTATTTAAAAAAAAAAATTAATGTCATTTCGTAAAGGCTTAGCTTTCATCATTACGCGCCCGAAAAGATTATTCTCCACCACGCCGAAAGCAACAATCATTTTTTCATAAACACTTCAGGCACAACTTTCGAAGCAGACCTGGTCAAGGCAGGGCAGAGATGATAAAACTACAAGCGTAAAATACATCAAAAATTCGAACCGCATGAGAAACTACAAGATAAAAAACGACCTTACACATAGATGATGCATTCAAATATTTACACCCACAAATTCTGCAGCCAAAAAGTTAGAACGCCCTATAGATGATGCATTCAAATATTTACACCCGCAAATTCTGCAGCCAAAAAGTCAGAACGCCCCAAGTTCTCATGAAAATAATGTTCCAAAAAAGGGGAAAAAAAAAGAGGAACTATATACTACGGAAATGAAACTAAACGTAATAAAGTACATAGATAAAACCACATGTCAATCATCATCTGATAAACAGACCTCACTTGCTGGGTTTGTCAGCACACTATTCACACTATGTAGCATGCTAAGCTCTGGCTGGGTCAACTGGTTGGGGTTTGGAATCAAATCTGTTACTGGAGGAAAACTGCAGGGTTGAGTTGCATTTGTACTTGTTTGATAACCTACATCCATTAACGAATCGAGTCCAGAGAGATATGTGCTAGAAGGCGAGACCCCCATGCTTTCACAACAATTTGTCGTAGTCTGAGGACCAGATTGTTGCACAGGTGCTGGAGCTCGTGAAGGAATCTCAGAAAGCGTGGGAGAAGTTGAAGGTACTTGTTGACTTTGCATCCCATGTAGAAAGGAAGAAAGACCAGTTGTTGATATGGATGCTGAAGGTCTAAAAGGTTGCAGGTGTGGGGCAGGAGCTCTAATCCCACTACCAAGTTGGAAATTGTTTGTGATAGGAGAGATGGAACCAATATGTGGTGGTCTGGTAGGGGTGCCTGATAAAAGTGATGAGCAACGAACAACCTCTAGAGGTGGGGAGGGAGGGAAAAGTGAGGGATTTGTTTGATGACCATCTGCAGAAACACCAGATGAAGCAACAATAGGAAGCCTCTGAGCAGTGGATTGAGATTGCTGTAGTAGCTGCTGCACAGCACTAGAGGTGATCTCTGCCAGGAAAGATAAGGTCAGGAATTCACCAGCGATGACATAGTATACAAGCAAATATTGAAGGCAAACATGCATGCAATCGAAAACCAAGTTTAGGTTCCCATCAATCAAGGATTAAATGCATTCCTAATTATGTTTTCATGACTCATCTTTTTCTTCAATTCCATATTTTCAATACAAGGAATATTACCCACCTTGCTGCTTGCCAAGGGTGCTAGATGCTCTACTATCCATGCACTTGGTCTTCCAAGCCTCAGCCAATAACTTGTTCATAAGAACTTTGTTTTGATTGTCATTCATCTCTTTCTTCTTACACTGGAAATCAGATTCTATCTCCTGAAGTTTAATATCATGTTTTTTATGAATTTGAGCTACCACCTCCACTATCTCCTTCTTGCAATCAGATTCCAACTGCAGCTTCTGCAAAAAAGAAAATGATTTTTCATATAAAAGCAAAAACCCAAGGCATGTTTTGAGCACCGAAATACAACTAAGAGAACAGGAAACAAACTGTATCTTCATGGATCTTGATGATTTCTTCAGTTTCTTTGCTTAATCTATCCAACTCATTTTGAAGTGGATCTTGAGACATAGATACAGGCATTCGCACAGTAAGTGCGGTTCCAGGACGATTACTAGTTCCAGGGGTAACAGGTGCAGTCCTCATGTTTGAAATATGCATCCCTGATCCACCAACAGCTATCGAGTCAATAGGCAAAAGTTGTGCAAATGAAGCTGCAGGCTGTGAACCACTAGGAGAGTCAGTTGATAGTAACAATTCCAGCAGATGCTCAGTGACAGGTGCATCATTAGGAGATTGGCCAGAAGCTACAACAAGAGGTTGGAATGCTGAGGCATCAACTTCTTGAAAAGCAATCTGGTTATCACAAACTTGTGCAACTCTATCTTGCAGTCTAGAGGACTCCGTTGGTTGACTAGTATCTGAGGCTACAGCATGTATTCTGTCAATCTCTCGCTGAGTGCGGCTACCCTCCAATTCTGCACTAGTAGCAGTTTCAAACCCTCCTGATGGAAGCACTCCAGCCAGCTGATCAACTCCAGTACCATAAGAAAAGGCTGTAACATAAACACCAGTGTTCTCTCCACCATTACTAGCACTCCCTTCTACAGGAGTTCCATGAACTCCTGATGGAACCTCCTCATCCTGCAGGTCAACTTCTTTGGTTTGGGGCGCTCCTAAAAGAACCTTTCCATTTTGCTGGTTGGCTGCAGCAATATTATCAGATTGAGAATCTTGATTAAGCCTAGACACCAATCCATTCTGCTGATCTTCTTCAGTTGCATTATCAGATAACATAGCCGATATTCCATCTGTCTCCTTAACTCTGTTACCATGCTCAGCTTCCATAGAAGTGGTTTCAGGCACTTCCAACAGAACTCTGCCATCTATGCATGAAGTTGTTCTGGCAGTACAGCCTTTAGATGGTGAAGGATTTGTGGAAGCAGCATTCTCCAGGCCACCAGTGGAACTGACAATATAAGGCACCATTAATGCATCTCTGTTAGGACTTTCAGATGATGATTTATGAATGGTATTCTCTGGGTCATCACTAGAGCTGATAGCCTCAAGGACTCTCACTGCAACCTGTGTATCAGGAATTTGTCCTTCACCTGAAAATGCTTTCAAATAGACAATATTCTCTGAAACATCCCTCACACTTGCAGTCTGAGCAGTCTGAGGCATTTCCGAAGGAACCTCTCTGTCTGTGAAACATCCCTCACACTTGCAGTCTGAGGCATTTCTGAAGGAACCTCTCTGTCCGGCATGCTGGAAGTAGCCCCATCAAACATTGGCTCAGATGCAGACAATACCTCAGAAAATAAATCCTCATTCAAACTCACAGTTTCAAGAGCTTCCAAGAGAGCCTCTCCATCTGGCATGCTTTGGGCTCGTTCAGAAGTCTGCTCTTTGGAACAAGAATTCACAGTTACAGTGTTTTGTTGATCATATCCAGACTCATCTGCAAGTGGTTTATTTATTAATCCAGACGACTTCACTCCAATCCAATGAGCCTTCCTCTCTTCTAACTTGTTCCTTGTAGCCAGTTGAAATTCCAAAACATCATTAAGGCGTATCTCCATCATCCGTTTAAGCTCTCTGAACTCTTTTGCAAATACATTATCCAGTACCTTGAGTTTATCTGTTCTCATTGAACTATTACTGTGTAAATGAATAACAGCTGCCTCTGTTCTCTGCATGAGCTCAAGTTCTGCCTTTTCTTCCTCATACTTTTTTTTGAACTCTTCCCTTTCTTCTCTTTGCTTCTGCAATAGCTTGTTCATATGTTCATGACATTTCTTTTCAATGTCTTCAATATTTTCTGAGTAATCTTTCTGTGCCAATCCTAGATCGGAAAGGGCCTGATCAATGAAGAATTCTTGACCAGGTCTCAGGTTTTCAACCTCTATTCTAACCTTTTGCATGTTAGATGGTGTTGACAGTGAAGGTCTTCCATTTGACTGATTTGTACTGAGATCTTTAGTTGAAAATTCTGCAGCTTTTGGAGAGCCAGCCAACTTAAAATTTCCTGTATGATAAAGAAATACTTTCTTTAAATATCGCAACTTTGAATAAACAAAATCTGCCTCATCCTTCGTGCAGCAAAAGTTCAAATGCTGTTTTGCAAGTGCAAGCGATTCCTTGTGATCAAGTTTGTACTTAATCATGGAAGCTGCAGTCCAACACTGCAATTTGAACAGCACAAAGTACAGTAGCCTGTTAGCAGAAGCACCAACTATAGAAATGCTGTTAGCAGAAGCACCAAATATAGAAATGCTCAGGCACAAAATATGTACGAATGAAAAGGCAGAGGCACCAGAAAGGGAGGCAGTGCAGAAACATTGAGAGAGAGACCACTGGATTCAAGAATGTCAGAATCAAATTTCTCAAATACAATTAGTTGGAAAACAATTCATCAACTATGTTCTTTCCTTCTCAAGGAAAAAGTCCTACCAGTAGAATTTCAGTTTAACCTGTTTTAATTTTGCTCAAGGCAATTTCAAAATGGAAAAGAATAATTTATCAGCTGCATATTTTTCACTGACATTATTTTCATCTCTTTCCTGGAGGAAAAGATAGGAACTAAGAAACAAGACTGTACTTCCAAGTGCATTTTGAATTTCACATTTCTAATTGTCTTATTTCATGTTTATAATTCCTTTTACCTAGGTCTTCCTGGTAACCTTAATAGAGGATGAAGAAGAATACATAAGATTTTTTTATCTCCAAATTAATCAGGTATGATAACATCAATCCTTAAATCAGACCAAAAAGCCCGCACTATAATCCTTCACAAGTCACAGGCTTACACCTAAAACAATCACCCTATTCACAAAGAGAATGAAAAGTGCATTCAGCAAAAGGCATACTTGCACATCAGGTTGGTTATTTAAAGATACAAATCCTTTCTGTTTCCTCAATTTATGGATTAATATTTTAGGCTGCAAATCTTGTATCCGTTGTGATCCCTCCTCTTTGTAGTTCCTATGTACTACTGTTTTAGATCCAAGATGTCAATCTAACCCCAACAGAGGCTACAAAGTTTCAGCCCTGCTTGTCGACTTTTGAAACTCGGTTGATGTACACTTGTAAAGACAACCATGGAAAATGAAGGTATGAACTGATTTGGAAAAGGCAGATAATTTAGAGATCTGTCAAATTCAAAACCAAAAGTGAAGATATAAAAGTTATTGCAAATGGAGTGGACATTTTAAAAACCTCCTCAACAAGACAGGCATGTTAAATATCTGTGATCCAAATTGATAAAGACATTGTAAGGCACGGTTTTTTAGTGATGAATAACTGATTAATCAGAGGGGGGGAATTTGCATCACAAGTAAATAAGTGATCAAACGGCAGGAAAATATCAGGAAAAAGGGCTCTAACCAAGGATATCAGAAATGCTTGCAATATGCTAGTTGGCTCTCTACTGACATGGTGATTATTCAGTACATATTCCAGAAATTGATCAACCATGATCTTGACATCCCCCTGAAACAAAAGTGAAAAATGTCAACATAATGACCCAAAACTTCTAACAAATTCATAAGTCGATAATAGAAAGCATACAATCATATTATTCAAGAAAGGGAACCCATCAAAAGTAGTGATTACTTGAAAGACAGAAATTTAATTTTCCCAGTAGTAAAGTGAGGATAGAATTTGGTTGGTTGAGTTTTTTAATGCAAACTAAAGCCAGAGAGGGTTTTCTTTTATTCTTTCAAGTTTTCCTTTTTGCTTCTCAAGTGTTTTTTTGTCTTCTGAGAGGCAATCAAAAAGAGGAAGCAATGTTACAACATGGCCCGTGAGATTTGCCTCTCACAACCTGAAGGGAAACTTGAGGAGACAGGGCAAACATACCAGATCAATGTTATCAGAATTCTTAGATGCATAAACTATAGAAAAAAGAATCCATTTTCAAGGGAGGACAAGGGAGAAAGTTTGTGATACCATTGAGACAAAAACCAATTTCAAGAACAATATTTTTGGAGATTATTCAATTTCGAACAGGAATTCAATGAAATTATAGTGTCCATCAACAATGCTCTCCAGGTTTTGGAAATTCATATTATCCTATTATGACCTCAAACACTTGTTCAATACATTGACAGTTGTAAGGATCATTGCAAGGTTGATGCTTGCATGAACAAAAAGAAGTTTGAGTTTACAGGATTTTTTCTTCTTTATTTTTATGCTTAAAATCAATTCTGAAACCAGCTCAAAGTACTAAGAATAGAGTGGATAGGCAGACCCAATATACCATATCAAAGACCCTACTGCAAAATTCATTAACATGTGCTACATAAAGTAACTTCTTCCGAGGGATGAAATACATACTGGGAGTTGTAAAATTTCACTAAGTTTTTCTCTCTCTGGCTTCAAATCGAGATGGAGACTCTTCTGAGAATAATCTAAATTCATTCTTTCATTATAATCAACCGTATTAGCTTTTGGTAGAAGTGACAATTTATTATTCAAATGGGTGAAGTTGGAAACATGATTTGCATCAGTTGTAGTAAGACAACCAGTTGAACTTGGCATGAATTGAGACATACTACACACTGGAGCTCCAGAAGTTCCTGCATAAATAGGAGACACTGAAAGTTAAAGTAATTCAGTAATCCCCGCATTGTTAGGGCAGAAATACTCTGACAAGAGAACCAACCACCTGTGTATACAGGATAAGGAACAACACAAGGTGAATCAACAGTGCAATTAACCATTTACCTATTGGAGCAGCTTTTAGAGATGGTGAATTGGAGTTATCAATGGCCACTTTCTTGCGCTTCTTTACAACTTCATCAGCCTTGACGTCAGAGTTCTTCTGTATGTGATCAAAATATTGAACCCTTTTTCTGTTCCTCTGAGACAAACCAGAACTATATTTCCACTGTAGCTGTTTTCCCTTAAGCAACCTTTCCCAAAATACATGGGGCAGCTCTTCATCCAACAATTGAATTTTTGGCTCACCATCCAATGGAAGATTAGTAGTATAACTTCCTTGATTTTGTTTAACATTCAAAATTACAGAGTTAATTAGATTCTTGTCTTTTCCCTTCTGAGTTACTATAGCTAAGAACTCCTGTATAACATCTTTCATATGTGACTGCTCAAACAATGTATTTCCACTGGAGGCAGGGTCATTGCCACAATTAAACTCTGACAATTTGTCAAACAGATATGAAACCCCCCACATAAGAAGCATGTGACTAGCACCCTGGTTTATCCTCTGTAAATTTCTATCAAGTGTCTTATCTTGCCTTGCAACAATTAAGACCTTTTCTTCCACAGTACAAGAAGAGTATAGACGAAATATATTTATCTGTTCAGACTCTGAATAAAGCGTTATTTTTTGCAGGTTCCTGATATCAGTATTTGGCTTCCAATTGCTAGCAAATATGATAACAGTATCCACAGATGAAAGTTTTATGCTGGGACTACAAGCACGGGTTTCTAATAAGAACACAAACCTCCCTTCCTGAAGATTGTTGAAGTTTTTCAAAGCAACTTGCTTCCTTGAAGGGAGTACACGCCCATCAACACGTTCATAAGAACCCTTGCCAAATCTTTGAAATATAAAGTCATCTAAAATATCTCCAACATTATCCTTTCCAGAACCTCCACTAGACTGTAAATCAAAACTAATGAGTTATGTAAGAAAAATACACACAGAATAATTTGACTAAGAACAAAAATATACCAGGCAAGAACAAACATTGAAAAGAGAGGAATAGTAAAACAAATAACAGGTTGTCCACAAAGGTAAGCAAGATCAATAATCAGAGGAATCTTTCCAGATGTCATAATGATCATGTGCAAGGACTTGCAATCATTCTCAATATCCAAAAATTGAGCAACCATTTCATATTAAATTAAGATCAGTGAAAATGGAGCCCTTCTGACATGACTTTTTTGTTTAAACTATACTTGATAGTTTAGGAAAAAAATTGGACAGAAAACTAGGTTTTTTATAGCATAACAGCTGATATCATTATGTAACACGGCAAAAGAGTTGTAATCAAGTGAAATGAAAAAAAAAAAAAAACGGAGCTGACCCAAAAACCACTTGTGAAAACTGTAACAGTTTTTCATGATATTTAGAATTTATTTGGTTAATATCATAGGACAAAAAAGACAGAAACAGAAGGAACAAAAAAAATATTTGGTTAGAGGGACGAAGATAGACATATAATAAATGTCTCTATGATAATTTTGGAGTGAATTGATGTCCTTTTAAAACTGGAGGTACATGGAAAAATGCCCCCTCTCCATTGTTCTCTCCATTGTCTTCGTCATAACCAAATGCTACCTTAGAGATGACAATTTAACCCAAACCTGATAAATACAAACCTGAACCTATCCGAGTGGGTGGGTTTGTTTTGGATAGTTTTTTTTATTCAATAGGTATGAATATTGTCAAACCCAACTCGAAACCTCATCCAAATCCGATCCAAAATATATACAATAATATTATGCAGAACATTAATAGTTTTTTAATCTAAAATAATATATAAGTATGCCCAATGTTAACATTATACAAGTATATATGTATGACATTTATAATTTCATCTTTTGAGTGCTATATATCTAATAAATAGCACTCGAAACACAATGAATAGGATATAGATATCTAAATTCCTTACCTGATGGGTAATAGGCATTATATAGACATAGCATAAAACCGATCCATGGATACCAATGATATTCTGTTTTGAAAGACCAGTTGAAGTAATTTCTATAAAACAATCAGCATGGTTATTTGCATACTCTCTCTCAAGAAACTATGGAACATAATGAGAAACTGAAAGCCCGTTTCTTGGAGGAAAATCAATGTAAGAACCTTGTCTGGTACTCCAGTACAGAAAATAACACATTCCCGAACCAATGGACATAAATATTCAGAACAATCATAATAGCAACTAAAAATGATTTTGAGTGTGTATAGTTGAGACTTTAAAGAAAAAACTTGTGCAAAAAAAGATTTTTTGCAAACAAAAAAGATACGGATCATGAATCATGTACCTGAAAAAGAACTAGCACTCTTAATCCCCTCTCTTTTATGTTGAAAAGCATTGCATCCAGGAGTTGTAGCTTGCCACTAGCTTTTATTCCAATATCTAAAATGTCAGCTTCTTTACCGTCTTTTGTTAATGAAATTTGTAGTGATGGATCCATGATGTAGGGATGATCACAGCACTGTCCACAATTACCATGCATACATCACTTGCTATTGGAAAAGCACAAGTGCAACATCTATCTTATATCTCATTAGCAACTGGTAAACATATCAAAATTCTAACAGATACAAAAATCCTATTGATCCGATCAATGAGCAACAAATCTCCATGATTAAAGATATTGTCAGAGTCCCAATCCACAAGTTACCCAAAAATATTTATCAATCATGGTTTCTGATAATTCCAAATGAAGAAACTGGATATACCAGGTTATGATTATGAATTTTAACGTCAAGGCCTTTACAGATGCAAAAAAAAATCATATGAATGAATGCAGTCGGAGGTGAAACAAAATAATAGATTTCACATTGTTAAGAGTCAAAAAATCACCAAATGAAGTTAATATAAAAGGCATATCGGTCCTACCTTTCGAACAGAAATAAGAATATCATGTAGGGAACCAGCAAGATCATTCTTTGAGGATGAGCAAAGTAATAAAGAGTTTGAAAGTAGAATGGCACAATACTGCTCAAGCTGCATGGTGGATAACTGTACAGGAACCCAGTACTCTTTAAACCTTGAGGAATCTGGTTTGCAACCATTTGCAATGTATTGTGACAACCTTTCCTTAAAAATGCCAGTCTTATGGCTGGAATCAATCACCAAGCATTCACTACCATCTGGATCACTCTGACGAACAAGCAGAGGCAGCAAGTGCTCAGTGATGCCATCCTGCAAATCCAGTGCATGAATGAAGCACCCATGGAATGACTGTGGGAGAAAGAATAAAGCATATGGGGAACAAAAAGAGGAAAACAAATGCACCCACCTTAAGCTGACCATTTACAAGGAGAAGCCGCATAGCAGTCCTTAGCATCTTAATTTGTTTAAAATGTGAAAATATTCTAGACCTCTGGCACTCATCCACTATTACAGCTTCCCATTTCATTGATTCAAGCACATTTAGATCCTGCAGATCCATATAGAGGTCAATATAAATGCCACAGCAAATCAACGAATAAGAATCTGCATATGTGGCAATAGATTTTTTATAAGCAAGTAAAGTAGCAAAGAACTCTCTTTCCTATTTTCTTTTCTTTCTCTATCACAACAGATTCCATGAATAAATCATCATGCATGTCAAACTATAGAAGCAGCATGCACTATGATAATCAAATCCACGCAAATCAGTTGGTTATTTTATCCCAGGGACGACTTAATAAGCAATCAAAATCAACCCGTGAACTGATCTCCCGCATAATTATGCATTCTGACCTCAATAATAACTTCTGGTGAGGTTACAAGTATATGAAACATAATGCAACCTCCTTCACTGTAAAACTCCAACGTCCTAATACTTCTCCGTACATCTTTGTTTCCATGATAAACCACAGCATATAGAGATGGCGCCAAACGAAATAGCCCTTCTTCCCATGAATGAAGCGCAGCAGAAGTCGTGATGACAAGAAATGGCCAAGTGGCATTGGATGATATTGACAAAATAAAATAAATCACCTTTGCAATTTGTTCCTGCAAAAAACACATTGTAACCACTTACATTAACTCCTAAGATAGATCTTGAACAACCATTATGTTAGTTAAACCACAAATAAAAGTTAATCAACAACCTAATGATCATCCAGACCTTGTCAACTAACATGATAGAGTGTGGAACCACAATAGCATGACAAAGGGTTAGGTGCAAATCATAAAGAATAGAAACTTCTAACATGCTAAATCTGTAAGTTACAGACAAAGGAATATGACAAAGTTCATTTATATAAAAAACATACATAGTATAGACAACAAAATCATTAGACTGCATTTTCACAATGTCCTGAATTCTTTTAACTAATAGTTGATCATTTGATCACCGTCAAGGTTGCACATCCATTCATTAGTCTGTTACAGATATGAAGTAAAAGATTCACTGGCAAGCCAAGAACAAAGAGCAACTGATCACACACCTGATCATCAATAAGAACAGCATTCTCTCCCCTGTGCCAGCACTCTAGAAGATAGTTGACAAAGTCCAGATGATTATTATCAAACTCAGGTGAACCACCAGCTGACAACTGCAACAATTTAACCAATGAAACCTTTTTCATCTCGAGTTTCTGCTGGCAACTAATTTCAAACCAATATGACAGGATTTATAGACATATAAGAGAATTAACAGCACATGCCATGAACTAAAGATTTATCAGAACAGAAAATTATTTTCCAACGTCTCTTTCGCAGGTTCACCTACAACAGAATTTCATAACATTTTTTTCTCAGAATCTTTCAAAATGCACTCCTCAATCAATTCCTCTACCTCCCTCTGACTGCAGTCACCACCCCCATCAGCATTCTCAGAAGTTCCAGCACTGGGATTGCTGCAATATCCTTGAGATGACTTAACCTTCTTGTTCTTCGTCTCCTCACAAAAACCTAGCAAGTCAAGCAGAAAAGTATAAGAATGATTAAAGAACTTGATTGACGCTGGATTGAAAGAATAAAAGCCTGCCTCACTGTTCATGACATCATTAAATACTGCAGATTTTGCAATGCATTTACTAGTCATGAAGAAGGATTTGAAACAACTTATGAATGGATAGTAAGATAGAATGAAGAAAAATTACTAGGCTACCTTCCAGATTAGCTTTCTTTTGTTGCTGTTTGAACAATGACCTGTAAACACGAGCATCAGTTATCTTTGTTTCAACCTGAACAGCTTTGATAATATGTTTCTCACTGTGGCCGATTTCATTAGTTTCAAGAGTCAACAGTTTCACACTCTTCTCTTTCCTGTGCTTTTTTTTCATAACTGATGAGCCCAAGCTTTTACCAGACTTCTTTGAACCAAAAGAACTGGATGATGACTGATTCTTACCCCTCTTAGACCTTCTCAAAAGACTCGACATGCTTTCCTTCTCAACTCTCCCAGATTTCCACATGACTGCAGGAGTTGTAGGGGTCCGATTCTCAAGACGTTCAGACTTCCTAGTGCTTGAAGGGCTTGGAGCCATGCTTTTCTTTGATGATGTTTCTCTGGCTGACCTTCTTAGAGCAGATGTATCAGGCGCACTACCTGAACTAGATGATGATCTGCTAACAATATTTTTCCCTTTTTGAACCATTGGTTTCCTCATCCTTAGCTTTGCGACTAGCTTTAGTATCATTTGCCATCCTTCAAGCTGTAAACCACAGAAAATTATATAAGATTCTATTGAACCAGGCGATGCTTAATAATGATGTTTCAACGAGCAACCAAGCAAAATAAATTCGAGCATCCCTACATGGCTAAGAAGTCCTATCTTTCCTTGCGTTATTCAGCCTATCAAAAATTTACTAGAATTCCAAGCAATCTTATAAAGGGCACACCTGTTCGCCGCAATATCTCGTTTCTCTCCAATAGGCCGGATCCTTTAAGCTGCATCACTCATCCAATGCAACACATGAAGGCACGAAAATGTTACAAAACGAAAATATTATACCAACTTCTGAGAATTTCAAAACACAATCTTTATAATTAACCAAAAAAATACAATCAAAATCAATCAAAGGCTCAGAAAATATCTAACGCTGTAAATTTAAAATTTTCGCAAAGTATGTGTGTGTGTTCTGCTTCAGACCGAACATCAAGAACCAAAAGGCATGCGTGTGTAATGCTTAAACAAAAGAGAAAACCTAATTCAACAAATTAAAAGACTTAGTGCAAATAACCACATTGCAAGTCAGTACAATGCCATTCAGAATCATTAAACCATAAGCCCTAATTTACTGCACGAAGGAAAACAAAAGAAAAGGGGCAGTACCAAAATCTTCAGCAATCACACCAACGTTACCTAAACGAAACCCTAATGCACTGAAAATATTAAGTTCTTTTGAAGTTAGATTATGAAACTTGAGTAGAAGAAGAAGGAATTAGCGAGATTAGAATTTCTATTTATCCTTGTGAGAATCTTACTTATCCTTGTGAGAATCTTGAGAGTGGTGTCCTGGGAGTGAAAAATATGAGTGTGTTTGGACGCTTTCACAAACGAGTTTTTCAATTAAAAAACTCATTTTAGTTAAAAAAAATTAATACATTTTTTACTGTTTTTAAGTAAAAAAAAACATGAAAAATAAAAATAAAAATTCTTTATAGACGAACATTTTCTTAAAAATGTTAACTATTAAATACTTTTAAATTTTTAAAAAAACACAGTAAAAATACAGTGTAAAACAGGCTGTAAAGTCACGGCAGGACTGCGTGTTAGAAAATGACACCTAATGGTGACTTTTCTCGTAGAAGTTCGCGGGATTATATTCATATTTTCGAGGGAAAAAAACTTGTAGGGTTGACTGGTTTAACCTGCCTTCGGGTACTCCTTCGAACACAGCTCTGTCGCCTGGTCAGCTAACAAGTAAAGAAAAGCATGTGAGAAAGGGTAGGGCAATTACTCCTTCGAACATGTGAATTTTGCAATGTTGAGAGCGAGAGCAGGAGGATCATCTTTTCTTTTACATGCTTCTTAAAGATCAATGGAGAGATCGATGGTTTTTGCCCCTCAGCAATATCAGCAGACACGTTGATGATATTCATGATTGAATTTGGTGACTTCAAGAGAGCTCGCAAGGCTCTCTCAAAGATGAACCATTTCTCGCTCCTAGAAGCTATACAGGATTTTAAGTACTCTAATTGATATTTGTTGATCTGGAAATTCTGGTGATTAATTAGCTTCTCAAAGTTTTAATTCATTGCACTATTGATTGTAGTGCTCTTGTAGCAGGTAGTACATATAATATATAAGGACCCACAAAATTGAAATTTATGAAGATAAATAAGTAAATTTCATGTATAATATATAATTATTGGCAACATATGAACGAGGAAATATTAAGAAATAGGAACTTTAGAATAGCTAAACCATATGCGACTGAGCAATAATTACATGTAAGGTTATATCATCCTAGTGCGAAAAACTCTCTGCTGCTCTTCCAAACTCTTTCATTTATTCTATATATATTCTATCCTGTAATCAGTAATGCCTGGACAAATAGTTTATTCAATCATCTTTGTCTTCTGGTACAAAAAGCTTCACCGGTCGGCTATTTAGTGGTTGTAGAGGTCTTGCATTTGTGTCCGAGTCCTGCAAAATGTTTATCAAACGATATCAGCATATCTAATAACAGCAGCAGCAGCTAATGAACAAACAAAGGTTACAGTAAAGAATTAAAACTTGAAATAATCAATAATCAGGGAATTCTAGTTTCCCATTTGTTATGCATGGGAAGTCATGGATAGGCCTGGGAACTCACATCATGAACAGCTACACGAAGCAGTCTGACTTGTTCTCTTGTGGCAGTCCTCACCTGTCAGGGTAGATTGTAATATTTAGAACAAAATATAGCTACATCAGGAATGAAAGCACATTTTTTTTTTTTATTAGAGCAGATCAAAACCTTTTTCACAATGGTCCACAGAACATTTTCAGTGCAAGGAGGAATCGTGAGGGAGCCCAAGTATCTATAGTACTTTCTGCTGCCTATCTTAATGTTCCTTGGATCGACTATTCCAACCACGGTGTCTCGTTCATTTGTGCCGGCAACGGATTGTAATTGTTCTGTCAGCTAATTAACGAACACACAGAACAAGCACATGATTAGAGAAAATTGAAGATAGAGAGAGTTACAGAGAGACATCTTAAGACACTACTCACAGATGACAGGAAGGAGTCTGGTCTTCCTATCTTGTACAGAATCCCAACAACAGCAACCTTTCCGTCGAGGCTCTCATGAACCATGTGCACCTCTAAAGCAAGCCTATATTCATATATAGAGAGAGTTAATTATATATACACGTGAAAGATTTTGTGTCATCAGTTATATATGGCTATAAATATATTTATACATAGCGATAGAGAGAGAGAGGGCTGGAAAATTAATATCAGATATATACCTCTTGCCATTGATTGTATGTTCAGAAGGTGAATGCCAGTGACATTGGTTGAGTACATATTCAGTTCCATTTATTTCAATAGTTCCTGCACCACTTTCCCATTTCAGCTGCATCAAAAGACAAAAATATTAAAATTAAACAAAGAAAACACTGCAGATTGTTATATAGAGAGAGCGAGAGATCATATATAGGGGTGGGGCAGATGCCTATATACATTTGCCTATTTCAATGCTACCTAGCTATTTCTTGCACATGGGTAGATAAACACATCTCACCGAACACCATTTTTTCAAGATGACAAGGTTTCTGAAAACAATCTTGCAACTAATAAGGTGTAGCTGCAAGCCAAAATGCCTTTTGTCTTAAGTTTAACTGGATAAACTGGAGCAGGTTATTGATAGTTATGCTGTAATTCTTCCTAGTTATTTTCAAATATTATAGGTTCAATCCTCCCTTAATTTCTTACCATCATATCATGTCCCCTGTTCCTAAGAGTGGCATTGCCAGGCTTGTAACTTCTATTGAGTCTCCCCAAGTGGGAGACTATATCAACTCTTTCGTTCAACAGATCAATAGGAGACTGCATAGATCCATTGCTACATGCACCCCATTCAGGGTGAATCCTTCCCCATTGAGCCGGTCCCTTCTCACCATCGGGGTTGTAATCAAACTCCTCTTCATCCTCTGCACCATAACAGATGGAAAAAGAAAAGAGAAGAAACAATCAACCAACTTATAAATATAAATTAATTAATGCATTATTAAACTACAAAAATTAATAATTGAATTAAGCCCAAGAAAACAAAATACTTATATATGATACTAATCTGAAATGCAGTTGCTAGCTAAGAAACAACATGCTAGTTTATGTATGGAGAAGTTGAACAAAAATGCTTAAAAATTCAAGGCCGTGCATGTCTGTTGCCTACTGCATGTTTCATGTCATTGATCTCATAATTTTGTGTGTGTGCATCTATCTATACGTGTGTGGCAAACAAAATTAATATGAACAAGTGATGCGCCATGTTAACCGCAGCCTGCTCACCAACTTCTTGAGATGCTATCGGGAGGATATGCGAAACAAGAACGAGGAGGAAAGTGATCAAAAAGAGGAGCTGGATTGCTAGCTTTCCCATGTCTCAGAGGCAAAATTACTTTGCAGTATTTTCTTCTTCTTTCTTGTTTCGGTATGCGCTTTGAAGTTGTTGTTCGACGAGAGGCTTGTGATCTGCTTATTAATTTATAGCTTCCATGTGCAATATGAACACCGGAAAAGCCAACTGCGAAGCGTTGACAGACGTTCTAAATTGTTGGTGCCCAAGACACATTTATGTACCTGACATATTTGAATTTTAAACATGGCGAGACAAAGAGAAAGTTGCTAGTCAACGATAGAATTATCTTTAGGAGCCATAGAATAACGGTGATAGAACTTCCACAATAAATCCATGTGGTATTCTCGAAGTGTCCAAATTTAACAATTTACTCAAAAATTTTTAAACGTCTAAGATGACGAACCTTGGTTTGAAAAAATAAGGTTACTTGCTCGTTTACTTTGTTTATAATAATTGATAACTCGTTGCTGTCTGATGCCTCATGGCTACGGTGGTGGGTGGGAGTCGGTAGCTTGGAGCTCATGCAGGAAGAAGAAATGTCTTTGTTTACGAGGTGCTTTGCGCGGTGTATGTTTTATGAAAAAAACATGTATGAATCTTCCTCCATTTGGCACTCCTTTCTTAATTTATTATAATTATTTTTCTATACCACCTTCTTACTTTTACGTTTCTTCAACTCACGCAGTCCTAATTTTCTATAATTTTCTACCCAACCACAGCTATGGTGGTTGAGTTGGATCTCGCAATTGACTATTAAGCGAAAAGAAATATAAATATATAATATTTATATGAATCTTCTTAGATGTTTCCTTATTTTTTTATGTTTGGATTCTGAGACTTTCCAGTGAAAAAATAAATTTTAACTGTTGGATTGTCTCCCAAAAAAAAAAACACAATCACTGTCTTCAATGGAAGATTTTTCTATAATTGTCTGATATCTTCTCCCTTAATCATGGAAACGCGTCTGTGTGTTTGGTGAAGAACCCCATCAAATGAATAAAAGAAGCACATCTAAAGCCTCTCCCTGCCCAGATAACCACTAATTAATTTTTTTATTGATTGTTAATTTAGTTGAGGATGGCAATGTAATTTATAATTAAAATAATAATTTTTTATTTCAAAAAGCAGCACAGCAAGTTAGAGCTACTGCGCAGTTCAAAAAATAGTAAAAAATAAACTTTTACTATGTCATGTTATTCCTTATCTCTTTCACTAGAAATGGCACATGAGTTTAAAACTAATTCAATTTATTGGTTTAAAAATAATTTTTTTTATTTTTTATTATTACATTTTAATTTAACTCTAATTAATATTGTTACAGATTTATCCTGACTAGTTATTTTATATCTTTCTTTTACCTCATTTCAATAACTTAATATCTTTTAAAACAAAAATATAGTTTGATCGCGGGCCGAGTCTCAGGCAACAAGCATGACTCTTGTCCCCTCTCCTGATTAACCAACAAGCTCGATCGACGCAATCTTTCCTGGTTAAGAGAACCTTCCATGTACCTTCAGGATTGATAAGCAAAACTACTCAAATAATTTGAGAAAATATTTGCATTACTTGTTGGTTTGTGCCTTATATTGGATGCCATGCGTAGCTTGGAACAAGCTATCAGTTTTCAAATTACCAATTGTCTTTTTTTCTGACTTGACTCTTCGAATAACGTGTTTAAAAAGGCAGGCGTGGAGTAGACAATATCGTCGCATGGAACTTCAACTGCAGAGTCTAGAATACAATTTTGCCTGTTTAAGAGAACCCTCCATGTACCTTCAGGATTGATAAGCAAAACTACTCAAATAATTTGAGAAAATATCTGCATCACTTGTTGGTTTGTACTTATATTGGATGCCGTGCGTAGCTTGGAACAGGCTATCAGTCTTCAAATTACCAATTGTCTTT